GTTCAATGAATATTTATGAGTGAGAAACTGTCTTTTTCATCTCAGCATGTTTCATCATAGGGCAGACGCTGTCCACAGGGTGCTTTTGATCCTTTTGCATTTGAATTTCCTTCCTTCCTTTTTTACCTAGGTAATTCTCACGCTTTCAGACCTCAGCTCAAGTGTCACTTCTTCAAGGATACTTTCCCTGACAAGGCTAAATTCCTCAAAAGCTACCTGTACTCTATTTCTGCCGTACCTGTCACATCTGCAGTGTTACCTGTTTGCAAGAATCCTTTAACAGCTCCGTGAAGGCAAGGACAACCATGTTCGTCTTTGCTCACTATTTTATACTCCACACCTAGCATGGTGTGTAGCACATGGCAGGCACTCAATAATGTCTGCAGAATGAATGAACTGATGAGTGAATCAACTGATCAAACCTTGGCATTGTGAAACATGCAGAGATGAGTGAGATAGTTTCTCACTTCGAGAAACCTGATGGAAGAGATTACAGACAAATAACTACTGTACCAGACACATCTGAGAAATACCATAAGAAAAGCACAGAAAAAGAGCTGTCAGAGTTCAAAGGCAGGAGAGACAGCTTTTGGATAGCAAGGCGGAGCCAGGACAGCCTCTATGAGAAGGTGGTGGTGGGAAGTGGGTCTTTTAGAATGGAAGCATGTGAACATGTGAACATGGGACATGGACGGATTGGAGTCAAGAGCAACAGGCCAAGCAGACAGTATGGTTAGAGGGCTGGAGGTGGAACAAACGTTTGTTCTGAATGCAGCTACAGGGCACGTGAAGGGGGCGAGAGGATGGAAGAGTGGATGAGGTTAGTGAAAAGTCTTGCTTGTCTAAGAAGTATGGATAGGTCACATCCTGCAGTCAGAGAAGGGATCTGAGGAGGGGAACCATGTGATCACGTCCACTGTGACAAGGACAGGATGACAGTTGTGCCTTTAAGACAGATGGGGAGGGGAAGCAACAAGGAGCAAGGAGTTGAGAACCAAGAGATCAGGCGAGTGACAAGGACTGCATGACACACTCTCCAGGGAAGGCAGGAGTGGGCGGAAGCAGTGTGTGGAGACTGTGCTGCTTGCGTGACTGGGCAGGCAGGACAGCGACAACAGGGAACTAAGGGCACCTGTGGGTCATGGCACGCGCTAGGAACTGCTGGCACAGTGGTGAGAGAGAGTGAGAGAGAGAGAGTGGTGGGGAACGGCGTGGACTGCGCAGTCAGACCGCCGAGCCCTGGCGGCTCACCAGCAGCTCACCAGCTGTGTCTTCAGTAGGTCACTTCATCTCCACACTTCGTCTCCTGCTGTCACGCAGGCTTACTAGCAGTGTCTCCCTCGTGTGGCTGGTGTGAGGACCAGTTAAGATAAAATATTAATTAGTGCTTATTAGAGTACTTCGAGATGGACAGAGAAGGGAGTGGGTAGATAGGTAATGATGGATAGAAACTTTTTTCTAAGCAAAGCCGAGACAAATAAGACAAAAGGGCCCCAAACACAACACTGGAGTTTTTATGGGGTAGATGAAGGACAAAGAGGCAACACGAGGAGTGTGAGAGGAGCCAAGAGATACTGTAATGAGGTTAAAGGAGCAGAAAATTCCAAGAAACTCATGGTGATCAACAGGGCAAAGGCTGGGGTAAAGAAGAAGAGCTGAGGAGGCCACACGTGCTCACCAGCATTGTCATTAGAGAAAGACAAGTGTAACACACTGAGATACCCTTGCACACTTTCTTATCGTGGTTAAAACGAAAGACTAGCCACACCAAATGCTGGCAAGGATGTGGAGCAACTGCAGGAGTATAAACAGTAAAACCGCTTTGGAAAATTGATTGGTAGTTTAGTTTAAAGCTAGGCACACACCTACTATACGTATGATCTGGCAATTTCACTTCTAGGTACTTATTCAAGGGAAATGAATATGTATGTCCACAAAAAAACTTGTAGAGATGCTACTCATAGCAGCTTTATTCATGGTAGCCCTAAACTGGAAACAACCCAATATTCTCTATTCGATAAATGGATAAACATATGGTGGTAATTTCACACAATGGAATATTACAAATAATAAATAAAGCAATAAAAAGGAACAAACTACTGCACACAAAACTACATGGATGAACCTCAAAAAGATGTCTAGTGAAGGAAGACAGACACACAGGAGTGTGTACCATATGATTCCTTACATATTCAGGTTTTAGGAAAAGGCACTGTATTTGGTGATTAGGAAGTCACAGATGAGCTCCAGGAGAAAAGTGTCAGTAGTGAAGGAACCAAAGCTGACATGACGCGGGAGGAGTGACTCAGGGTGGAAGCAAAGGGTCCTGTACTAGGGGTCGGCACACCACAGCCCGCTGGCCAAATCTAGCCCATAGGCCTGGTTTCTACAGTCTGAAAACTAAGAATGGTTTTTACATTTTCGAAGGTTGAAAACAAAACAAAACAAAACAAAACAAAAGCATATGTGACAGAAATCACATGGGGCCCACAAGGCCTGATGTATTTGCTATCTGGCTCTTTCAGAAAGTTGGCTGATCCTGAAGCGAAACAAGACAGGGATAGTGCCTGTGGCTTGAGGAGGAAGCAAGGTCAGTGTAAACGTGGACAAGAAGAGAAGAAAAGAGCCTGATGATCAAGAAGATTAGACGGGAATCACGAATACAGTAGTATTTCAGAGGCATTGGGAGTGGTGAGATAAAGGACACAGAGGGACAGTTATCTTTAAAAACAGAAGGAGCACTGTAGGGGGGAAGGGCATGCCTTTAACCCGCACCTGGGTGAGGCAAAGACATAAAGTGTAACCATAATGTTTGTACCCTCACAATACCCTGAAATAAAACAAACAAACAAACAAAAAACAGAAAGAGAAAGATTTCTCTACAACAGGTAGAAAGAAGGAAGGATGAGGTGAGGAGGGACCTGAGAGAGATCCTATAAGAGTTTCCAAACTTCACAGAGGCGGAGGCCACAAGGGCACCTCCAGGGGCCTGTCCTGACCACTCTGCAAAAACCACAAGCCTTCCCCGCACTCCCAATCCCTGTCACCTTGTTCTGCTCTTTCTTTTTTTCATAGAACCTATCACCTAATGCACCCTTGTCACCCTTGTCTTTGCCAGCCTACTAGAATGCAAGAAGCATGAGGGCAGGAATATTTGTCCATTTTGCTCCCTCACGTGCCCTCAGCATCTAGAATAGTGCTGGGCACAGAACAGGCATTCGACAAATCTCTAGTGAACGAAGAGTTTAATGTGCACAGAGTGAGGGGGTGGGGCTGGAACCTCAGCATCAGCACTACCTACACTTTGGGCCAGAGGGTTCCTTGCTGTGGACGGTCGTCCTGCGCATTATAGGAGGCTTTGCACATCCCTGGCCTCTGCCAGTAGCACTCCTCTCCCCAACTGGAACAAACAAAAATATCTTTAGATATTGCCGAATGTCCCTGGGGTGCAAAATCACCATGGTTGAGACTTCAGGACTGTAAGGGAATCAATCAATCACGTAACAACTACTTACCGAGTGCCAAACATGGGTGGGCGCTATGGAAACAAGATGAAAAGCTTACAAGGTTCCTGACCTCATGAAACTTAAAAGCCTGGTGACAAAGACAGACAAAAAACTATAAACTATTATTATTAAATAATTACAAATTATGACTAGTGTTATGAAGAAAATATATAGGGTAGAGAAAAAAACTAACTAACAGAAGAGATCTAATTTATAAAGGGTAGTCAGAGAAGGCCTCTTGGAGGAAGGAGTATTAAAGTTGAAGCTTCAAGTCCGAAAAGGAGATTGCCATGGGAGGAGGAAGAACAGCACATGCCTGAGCCCTAGAGCTGGAGAGAGCACCATACCTTCAAGGAAGGCTGGCATGACTGCAGCGTGATGGTGGTGAGCTTTGAAATGAGGCCAGGGAAGAAGGCAGGGGCCAGACAGCGAGTGGTGAGAGACCATGGTGCAGAGGCTGGCGTTAATGCTAACTGCAATGGGGTACTAGTGGTGGGTTTACTCAGGCGGTGGCATAATCCAGTTGATGTTTTAAAAAGACTCAGGCTACTGAGCAGAAACTGGACTTAGCTCCCAGTAGGGATGTCCCCATGAGTTACATTAGGGGATGAATAAAAAGATTCATCAAAAGTGCCCTAAAGGGCTGGGCACAGTGGCTCATGCCTATAATCCTAGCACTCTGGGAGGCCGAACGGGGAGGATTGCTTGAGCTCAGGAGTTTGAGACCAGCCTGAGCAAGAGCGAGATCCTGTCTCTACTAAAAATAGAAAAAATTATCTGGACACGGTGGCACACGCCCGTAGTCCCAGCTACTCAGAAGGCTGAGGCAGGAGGGTCACTTGAGCCCAGGAGTTGGAGGTGGCTGTGAGCTAGGATGACGCCACGGCACTCACCCAGGCCACAGAGTGAGACTCTGTCTCAAAAAAAAAAAAAAAGCACCCAGAGAAATGAAGGCAATGCCAAAGTAGGCTGGCGGCTGTCTCCAGCAAGTGTCAAAAGGCCCGGAAGGACAGAAGGAGATGACCATCAGAACTAAGGACTGGGAACTTGCAAGGAAGACATGACCCAGTGACATGAGGGTGAGGACTGAAAAATGCTCATGGGAACATCACCACCACAACAAAACTGGTGTCACAGGCTGAGACAACGAGATATGGGCAAAAATGGCCTAGCAGAGCCATGAAAACTTTATTCCTCCACAAGTTCAGGTGATACAAATATATGTTCCCTAACTTCATACACTGCTCTAGTAAGTATTGATGGAGTGAACTTTGTTTGACAGGAAATAATGGTACACAGAGCGGTACAGACTAGAAGATATTGCTGTTGTGGTGTCATGACTTTGAAGACACAGAGTATTCTTCCACTGCCAGACCGATCCTCCCCATTACAGCTCCAAGTTATCAAGTAAAAAGTAAGGACAAAAAGCTCAGAAGGAATATAGGCATGGAACAGAACACAGCCACCAAAGTCATGGTAAAAATGTACACTCACCTATAAGCATTAATATAATCTTTCCTGTGTTCCAGAAGAAAATCTCTCAGTTTGCCAATGTGAGATATCTAAAATTAAAAAAAGAAAGCAGTTTATATAGACAGATATGTTACACTCATGTAATGAATTTTAAATTACTAGAGAATGGAATGAAGGCAGCAGAAAGATTTTGAAGCTACAAACTGAGCAACTTGAGTTTTAGACTCTCGCACAATCACCAACTTGTTGACGTTGCTGGGCCTTGGTCTGTTATTGATGGCTCCTTCTACCTCTGATTATCCTCATCTATGACATTGGGAATAGATGATCTCTAAGGAACTTATAGATTAAATGTGATAATGCATGTCTGGTAATTACACAGGATGTGCCCAATAAGGTCAATTCCTCTCTTGATGTGTCTTAAATAAAAAATTTTACAGACAAATATTCCTTCTTCCACATGTTCTACGGGACGGATTCTAAGGTTGAAGCCATCAGCTTTATAAACAGGGCACACGCAGAGCAGCAGAGTTAAAAAAAAAAATATTCAGGGAGCGACTGATTTACCCCTGCACAGCAAATTCCCATCTTCCCTACGGCCTGCGCCCATGGATGAGCACGAAGAATCCGAAGACAGGTACAGAGCACTGTACTTGTGATGGCTCATTCCTAGTGCAATAAAACCCTACTCTAAAGCACCTTCCGCGCATCAAGTACTATGCATGAAGCTAGGGAGTCAAAGATAAAAAAATAAAATAAAGAGGAAGGAATAAAACTTCAGATCATAGTTAACAGGGACAGGAGTTCAAGACCAGTCTGAGCAAGAGCAAGACCCCATCTCTACTAAAAATAGAAAAAATCAGCCAGGAGTGGTAGTGTATGCCTGTAGTCCCAGCTACTCGGGAGGCTGAGGCAGGAGGATCACATGAGCCCAGGAGTTTGAAGTTGCTGTGAGCTAAGCTGATGCCACCGCACTCTAGCCCGGGTGACAGAGTGAGACTCCGTCTCAAAAAAAAAACAAAGTTAAGTCAGAGTACATGGCCATGAATAACTGAGTGCCAAGTGGGTGGTATGCAGAAGTCCTTTTAGGTTTATAGCAAGAACAAAAATCAGCCTGAGTTGGCCTTGACAGAAAAAGTTTTATGAAGAGATGAAAGTTCAGCAAACTTTTCAAGGCTGGCACCACGTGTTTGGAATGAGCACAAAGGGCTTGAGTAGGAAGCTAGAGTGAGCAGTGGTCAGAGGACAGGAGCAGGCCACTGCTAGTTAATGCTCTCTCCTCTGGAAGTACTTTCTCTCTCTCTCTCCTACAGCCCTGCCATGGACACGAATTATCAGTGTTCTCACTAACCAGCTTGGGGAAGTGAACCTTGTGGAAGCTAACTAAATGCCTTGTCTAAGGTTACACATTTAGTCCATGAGCTCAGATTTAAGCTCAGGACTGTCTGAGACCAAATTCAGCATGTTTCCAGTACACCACAGCTGTCTTCCTCACATTTTTGTTCCTATTTTCCACTTAAGCTACATCACGAAATTGGACTTTTAAGTCTGTTGAGAAAAATTTTAAAAGATGTGCAAGCAAGGTGTTTATTGCATCACATACAAGATTTGATCAAGTTACTCTTCTGTTTCAAAACCTTCAGTGGTTTCCATCTCCTACCCCAACCCTCACGTATCAGGGGTCACAAACTCAGCTGCCTTTAGGGGCCATGTAAACAGTATAAATGAGAAAAGCAGAGGAAGTGGATGGGTAGAATACATTCGGCAGTGGTGAATTCTGGCTTTAAAATACACTGTGGCCAAAGGGGGCAGCTTTGCAGGCTGATCTGAAAAAAGGCAGCCAATGCGTCATCGCAGGACCTACCTAACGGGAGTAAGTCCAAACCCCCAAACACAGCACTCGAGCTATAGTTTGAGCTTCACAATTCAGCCCCAAAAGCCCTGCCACACTCCCCCCAGGCTTCAGGCTCCAAGTCCCAAGGCCTCTCGTCACTCGCACATTCATGATTCTCCCTGTCCCTGGAATGTCCTACCACCATTCCCTCCAGGTCGAATTCTTCCTTCTCATTCAAGAAACTCCTTTACTTCTTACCCATTCCACACCCTTAGCCACAGCCAGATCCCATTCCCTCATAAAATGCCGTACATGCATCTATCCTAGCACCTACTCCTTCCTGATGACCACAAGGACTAGTTTGCAGACTGATTTCCCTTTGCCAGACTGCAAGCCCCTAGAGGGTAGAGAGTCCTCTCTCTTTTCCCAGAGCATGGAAAGACACACTTCCTGGTGCAAAGCAGAGCCTTGCAACTTTTATTAAATATTGAATAAGTAGTGGGTCCTGAATAATCCCAGAAGGATTACACTTGCTGTGGTGGGCAGAATGATGCCTTCCTGGCCCCACCCCCTCTGTACCTCCTGCCAGATATCCAACTCCTAATCCCTGGAGCTGTGAATATGTTAGGTCATATGGCAGAGGGGAATTAATGTAGCAGATGAATTAAGGTTGCTGATCAGATGACCTTAAAATAGGGAGATTATCCTGGGTTACTCAGGTAGGCCCAATGTAATCACAAAGGTCCTTAAATGTGGAGAGGGGAGGCGGAAGAGAGTCAGGGTGATGCAGTGTGAGAAAGACTCAGTCCAGCATGGCTGGCTTTGAAGGTGGAGGAAGGGAGCCAAGGAATGCGGGCAGCCTCTAGAAGCTAGAAAGGGCAAGGTAATGGATCTCCCCTAGAGTCTCCAGAAAAGAACACAGACCCACCAACACCTTTATTTTAAGCCCAGGGAGTCTCATTTTGGACACCTGACTTACAGAACTGTAAGATACTAAATCTGTGCTGTTTTAAGCCACAGGTTTTGGTAATTTGTTACAGCAGCAATAAGAAACTAATATACCTTATAAGAGCCTTAATATCCACAATGGTTTTTTTTAGGAGTCATAAAGTTTTCCATAAAAAGTTTTTAAAAGTCCAAGGAAATCTACTACACAGGCTAGATCCAGCTGCCTACACCCACTTTTAGCTCGTGCTGTCTACAAGGTAGAATGGGCCTCGGGCTGAGTGCCAAGAGCAAGCAGACCCCTCAGGCAGCTCACAAGAACATAATTACAAGACCTTCCTTAAAGTCTAACAAAAGTGATCCAAACTTCATAGGCCCTGTAATGGCAAATTTCTATAAGATGAGTTTATTAAAACAGAGTAAAGCTTGTTCAGGATTAAATGGAATTCTTGAGAAATTAAGAGGTGTTAATTACTGACAATAAATAACATCAGTATAATAACTCAATACTTAACATGAGCACAATGTATAAAATCATGTTTCAAATGCCAAGAATGAAAATAAAGGAGTAATAAGATTTCTTTAGACATTTGAGAGTTCTGAAATTTCTATTAATTCCTAAAAAAAATACAAAAAAATAACAAACCTATAACCATGAAGAAAGTTTAATAGGTCTTTCTACGATTTATCTAAATAGGTATACTTAAGCCTCCAAATAACATTTTATGGTAAGATTACCTTTGTGAAGAATGATGTGACAGTCAGTTGACATGACTAATAACCATCATCTTTATAAAGATTCTCAGCCAAACTCTCATCTGTTTACTGTCAGGCTTAGTCTTATTTTTGTGAATAAATTGCCAAAGACAGCATATTATAGTTCATACGCTTCTGGCATGCCCCCTACATTTTGAAAATTTTAGAGAAGTTAAGTAGTCATATGCTTTGGATTTTTAATGTTTCTATAATATATATATAGAATAATGTATATAATATATAATTTTTAAAGAGTCACTTATATGATAAAGTAGGAATACGCATATACCTAAAGAGAATGCAAATGCCTCTTACTTCTAAAAAGAGAAAGGCCATTCCAGTATAAAGTTTGATTAAAAAAATCAGAGTAAAATAAAAGTGAATTTGCCCTTTAAGATCTAAAACTAGTTCTAATTTTTTACAGTCTTGATCCCACCAAAAACACGGGGAAGAGGTGTAGGGAAAAGGGCATGAGAGGAAGGAAGAGATCCCTGGTGAAGTCTCTGAGGGACCAGGTAGGTGACAAGACATAAGGGCTAAAAAGAGAAGTGCTTCGGGGGCCAAATCTGTGTTGTGAGGCATCTCACAGGACTGACAGCAGAAGGGACACACCATTCTCACTGCTCCACACCTTTGTGACTGCTCTTCCTCTGCCTGGAAAGCCTTTAATACACTCAAAGAACCCCTGCTCGTCCTCCCAGGTTCTGCTTAAATGGCACCTCCTCTATGAAGCCTTCACATTATCTATGGATACTTGTTTGCTCTTTCTGTGTTACATGAGAAGTGTTTATCTGTGACCCCCACTAGACTTCCGTTAAGTTCCTTGAAGTCAGCATCTCTGTCCTATTCATTTTTGTATCTCAGTTGTGCCTGTATGTTGGAAAGGGCTAAAGTGGTGGGGGGGGGGGAAGGAGGGAAAAGGAAATCCAACAGAAAAGGCTTCAAGATCTGATAAACCCCTGATGTACTAGCTGGATCAAAAAGGTATCAAAAGTATCACACATCCTGCACTTAGGTAACAAGTGAATAAAAAAATGAAGAAGGACAAGCCAGCTGTTTGTGCAAATAAGTGGTTCTTCTAGTCAGTGAGGCATATTCAGAAGGCACAGCATCACCGAAACCTACTGAGACTGCACAGCCTAACGTGCTTCCCAGGAAGATCATCTGTTCCCCACAGAGTGGATAATCTGCCATCTGACTGGTGGCCTGCCATGGAAAAGAGCTGGTATCAGTAAGCTATGGTTTGATCACACTGCCATACTGTCTTAAGTATGTCTCCACCAGAGAGGATGGACAGGGACAAAGAATAGAGCATCCTGTATTTCTACCATAAACTGTAGTTCAAAACAAGAATTGAACTATAGCCAAAAGAGAAAAGGAAAAAAGGAAAGGAATGCAATATTTATTTAATGTCTTCTTCGTGCTAGTAAGTGGGTTATTTTATTTAATTCTGACAACAATCTGTGGAAATAGTTATTTTTCTTAGTGGAAAGAAACCAAAGCCCTTAGAGGAGATATTACCAACAGAGCTGGAACTGGAACCCCTAATTTTGCTGAATTGGCACAGGCTCCCTCAGTACTGGTAAACTAAGGAGTACATTCTCTAGTTTCATTTGACATTAAAGTCATTTTAATGTCCACTGTATATTATTGGTATTTTACTGGTTAAAGAATCTCCCACTTAATACTTAATGATATTAAGGAATTAAAATGAATTTTTTTAGGTGTGATAATGATATTATATATTATGATTATGGTTTTTTTAAAGAATCTTTATCTTTTAGAGATATATAACAATTTACAAATGAATGATATTAGTAAAATGCCTGGGATTTGCTTCAAAGTAAGATGGGGGTTGGGAGGGAACGGATGAACAGGATTAGTCATGAGTTGATAATGGTTGAGGATGGGTACGTGCATACATGGGAGTACCTTACATTATTCTGTCTAATTTAGTATGTATTCAAAATTTTCCATAATAAAATGTGGCGGGTTTTTCTTGTTGTTTTTTAATAATAAACACCAAGCTTAGTTTATTAGAAATGTGCCAGGCAAGGGAGACAATGACCAAATGAAGTCAGTCAAATGAACCAATAAAATGTTATTTTTAAAAATCTCGGCCAGGCACAGTGGCTCATGCTTGTAATCCTAGCACTTTGGGAGGCAGAGGTAGGAGGATCGCTTAAGGCCAGGAGTTTGAAACCAGCCTGAGCAAGAGTCAGACCCTGTCTCTACAAAAAAATTAGAAAAATTAGCCAGGCGTGGTAATGTGTGCCTGTACTCCCAGCTACTTGGAAGGCTGAGGCAGAAGGATCACTTGAGCCCAGGAGCTTGAGGTTGCAGTGATGACACCACTGTACTCTAGCCCAGAGTGAGACAGAGTAAGACATTGTCTTAAAAAACAAAAAAACCCTCCCATTTAGTACTTTCTTCTAATAGCAGATTTTCTGTTATTAAACTGGTAATAACTCACACTTAAACCAACAACTAAATCCCAACAATCTCTGGCTACTTTATTTCTAAGTACTTGCAATCTGCTTAAGTTCCATTTTACAGGATCAATGCCACTTAAAAAAATCAACAACAAAACCTTCGTTGTGAGTTTACTCTGAGCCAGGCAGAATTCCAAGAGCTACACGTGCATTAGCTCATCTACTTCTCCCAGCAACCCCTAGAATGTAGTATTAGCATGCCCACTCTATAGATGAGAAAGCTGAGTCAGAGAGAGGATAAGTAATTTCCTCAGCCACACATGGGTTGACCTGGATTAAATTCAACCACTCGGACTATGAGGCTTGAGTTCTTGACCACCAAAGTTAAACACAGATTTCTGGCAGGTCACAATTATAGTTTTCCAGGACTAAATTCACAAGGAGGATGCCTGGGAATTGAGAAAAGCAATCCAAGTAAGCAATATCAACTATCAACCTGTTCTCTTCTTCTTCTATTATATCTACATTCAACCATGTACTACACGCTTGATTTTATCCAGTAGTGATCAGTACTTATCAAGCACCAGCCGCATGTGTGCCAGGTAGTACACAACTGCTTGACATGTGCTCTGTTACGTCTACTCCCCGTAACAATTGTATGAATTAGACCAGCGGTCTCCACCTTTTTGGCACCAGGGACAGGTTTCGTGGAAGACAATTTTTCTATGGATTGGGGTGGGGGGATGGTTTCGGGGTGATTCAAGCGCGTTACATTTATTGTGCAGTCCAACCTCTCTGCTAATGATAATCTGTGTTTGCAGCCGCTCCCCAGTGCTAGCATCACCGCCTCAGCTCCACCTCAGATCATCAGGCATCAGATTCTCACAAGGAGCTCGCAACCGAGATCCCTCGCATGTGCAGTTTACAGCAGGGTTTGTGCACTTACCAGAATCTAATGCTGCTGCTGACCTGACAGGAGGTGGTCAGGAGGTGATGTGAGCACTGAGGAGTGGCTGTAAATACAGATGAAGCTTCGCTAGATTGCCCACTACTCACCTCCTGCTGTGTGGCCTCGTTCCTAACAGGCTGCAGACCTATACCAGTCCTCGGCCCAGGGGTCAGAGACTGCAGAATTGGACAACACCTCTCGCCCTACACACATACACTTAAACATGGAAACTGAGGCCTAGGCAAGGTCACAGGCTAATACATGGCAGCACTGGGACTGACCATACATCTGTATGACTCAAAGGCTATGTTATTTATTCTATACTATACTATCAAAAGACTAATAAACTATTAATACTAATAGTTAGCTTAACTAAGCTTAAGTTTTTCTTCATAGAAATATAAGCTAAGTTTCATGTGAGAGTATTTGTGTATGTTGATTTTAAAAAATGTTTTTTAACTACCCTATATACAGAAAGATCTGCAAGAAAGGTATGTTTTCACTGACTGACGGTATCTCCTCTGAAGCTGGCTGCTGTTCCTTTGTTTGTGACACGGGAGGCTTAGAACTGGTAAGGGCGGAGGAATATTGACAGGAAGGTCCATAAACATGAGCAGGGACTGAGGATGGTCGGCAGGACTGGCAGCATGATGGTGACCAGCTCATTCCGAGTGTCAATCGTCAAGCCACCTCAAAACATGGTTTGAACAAGTAATGAGACCAGCATCTAGGATTAGTTTCTCCCCATCACCCTTTAGCTTAGGGTAGGGTATAGGGCAGAGGAGAATCTCTGGGCAAAAGACTGTGGGATTTGGGTGAACCAGACAGATAAGAGGAAGATGGGTGAGAACCCAGGGAGTTGGCCACGATCCTTGGGTTCTAATCCCTGCTTGGCCACTTCCTATGAAGGAGATCCTTACCCCCCACCCTTATGCCTTGACTCATGTTCCTGGCCTATCTCCCAACCTTTACTCTTCTTCTCAGAGGGAAGAGGAGTGACCTACCTGATTTACAACTTGGAGAAGGGAAGGAGCATGCTGCCCTGTCCTCTTCTCTTTTCAGATCAGCCAGCCAGCAGAGGGCATACTCTAACCCATGCTCCACCCACATTTGGCCATAAATCTAAAGCCAGGTTCTCCACTTGGCTTTTTCTTGCTCTGACTCCTATATTTTTCTTTCAGGTAGTTCCAAAACTGGGCTGGGAAGAAAGAGGTATATTTTATAAGTACCCCCAAACTTTTAACTTTTGCTAGCTGAAATTTTGAGCAAGCTGCTTAATCTCCCTGGCTTCACTACAAAGGGAGGGAGATAAAAACTATTTTTAAAAAATAGTAGTAGCATAAGTTAATAGTCAACTTTTATTGAATACTACATACTATGGTACTGATACAAATGCTATGCATCCATTTATCTCCTTTACTTTTCCTAGCAACCCTTTGGGGTAGGTACCATTATTATCCCATTTTACAGATGAGAAGACAGTAAGGTAACACATTCTATATAAATGGTTCAAAATAAATGGAAGACTGTCTGGTGTATCCCAAACCAAGCACCTGTGTGCCTTCAGCCCCCACAAGTGTATCCACAAAGGTGACCCTGCCCCATCTGAGCACATTAAGTTTCTGAGGGTCGCATTTCCCGAAAGTGTAGGGGGGACATATTGAGATCTAACTTGCTCTGGTGAAAGGGACTGTCTAACAGCCACACTCCAGGATCAGCCAGGATCTCGCTGCTTCACTAGGCTAATACTTAACCAAACAAGTTATTTAACTCCATTCCAAAACTACAAGCATTTATATGACTGTTCCCTTTCTTTCTCCAAAGATAAATCAAGTTCACTTTTAATTGGCTATATTTTAATAAGGCTAATTCACCAAATCACCAAGACATTGAAATTCTCAAACACAACTCATCTACCATAAAAGCAAACTGCTTATAAAACAGTAGCAGTGTGGTCCCTATATTAAATGCATTTGACAAGGAATAAGAAGGCTCTCTTATACTACCTGTCTTTGCACATATAAAGATTTTACTAGGAAAGACCAAATAAAAAAAAATCCCAATATGTCAGCCTGTGAGATCTGGTCCTATGGGTGAATCTATACCGTTGACATGGACTCAACACCAGGGACTA